TAGTGACATGCATTTTGGTCTCAGCCCTTTGATATATTGATTTGACGTTATCAACTGTGCCACCTAGACACATTCTGTTGTGTATCCCATTTTTTAAAAAAGTGGTGGTCCCATTCTTAAAGTATATCATAAAACACATTTATGCATGTACTTAGTTTTCCATTTAAATAATTATACAGATAATTCCTCTTACAAAATAACTTTATCAGTAAGGCATTTAGTCTGATAATACAACCATAACCTTCCGTAAAAGAGCTTCTATTTCTACCTACCCAATAATCATGAATAGGGAAGCTGATTAAACTCTCGAAACCCAAAGGACTTAAATGCCATTAGTACTTCAATAATCAGTAATAAATTCAGGAAATGCAAAGCACTAACTGCAAATGCAGGTTTTATGATTTTCTCCAAAGTCATAGCAGAGATGTCACTGTCCTGTGCAAACCATTCTTTTAAATGTCTTGCTGATGGCTGATTACAGCCACAACCTTATCATGATTCAGTATTCCTTTATTTGTATCAGTCATTTACAATAAAAGGACAGATAGGATTATTTATCAGATTGTCATTTTGGTAAGGTATGTTCACACTGTATCCCCAAACCTGACGGTGTGGAGTAACTCTGGTCTAACAGGCCACATTTAACAGCTATAAGGATGACTAAGCACTACCTCTAACAACAGTGTTCTAATACGCATACTTGCTCAGGTACCGTAAATACATGGTTGTTCCTTTATTATTCAGTGCGTTGCTCTTGTTGAAATCCTGAGTTCCACCAGGAATACTGATGGGCAGCAGAACAGCTAGCCTTCCCTTCAGGTCCCTCTGATTTTTCATCACAGGAGTTGTATGAATGGTAGATTCCCAACACCACAGCGAAAATTATTATTGCAGCCACTATCAGCCATACCACATTCCAGTGTTTACACAGTTTGGGGTACAGTATATGTAAATAATTAATGATAACTTCAAGTCTGCTGTAAAATGAAAAGAAAACTGTTACATATTAATCACATGCAAATTTATTATCTTAAGCTTTTCAGTTTGAGACGTTTCATAGATGTATGGATAGATGTATGATGCACCACTTTTCTTCCAAATACAAACACCTTGTCAAAGAATAATCAGACAATAAGTTCTTTTAAGAAGAGCTGTACACTCAGATGTGGGTGATATTTGCAAGACAGCTGAAGACCATAAACTTGATTTCTATTTCTCCCACCTGTCAACTGGCAATCTCAGAGCTTGATATGATGTAAAGTTCTGTACTATTCATAGCTTGCTCAAGTAAACTCAACATTATAACAAGTTGTAAACATTTCTTCCTAAGAGTTTCCTGACTACTGAGATGGCATCCTCTCTGAACAAGGCTGAAATCTCAAATTAGCAGATGTTTATAACCATAATGGTTATGGAATGAAAATTAATTCTTCTGGATCAGGTACAGGTCCCTACCTCAGCCTGGGTTTGGACATGTTACTTGCTTTGGCTAGCATGCAATGCCTCTCTAATGCAAGACTCTCATTGCTTTTATAATGAAGGACTTTGCAGGTGTATTGAAGTGGGTGGTAGAACCACTGAGGAGACTCGATAATTAACTCTAAGAAAAGCTGAAAGTTTCAGAAAAGTTTTCTAGTTAGGCATCATTTGCTTCAGGTAAGACAACAAGCAGATGATTCAGACAGAGAACACTGGGTACAGATGAATGCTATAAATGTCATTACTGAAAGGCAGGAACTCCAGCATAATACTGTTCTGCTGCATCTAGACAGCTTGCAGAGAGAGCAAGCACCTGCCTGTCCAAGCCAGACCAAGTCCAACATAGGTGAGGAGCTTGTCTTAATCTGTATTCACCTTGTAGATGTACTGAAAGACTAATCCATGAAGACCCTTTGGGAATGACATATGGCACAACTACAGGCATAAGATTCCTGAATTACAACTTTTGTAAGACTACACATGCCTACTGAGGATACATTCTGGCATCTAAAGAAATTTTGTGGAATATTTTTTCCCTCAAATCAAAACCAAACCCCATCAAGATGAAGCATATTGATGTCAACACAATTTTAGCTGAAATATCAAAAGTTTTTCATTTTGCAACTATGTTATTTATCTCAGAATATGCGTTACTGTGAAAACACTTATTTCAAGAATAGTTTCTTACACTGGAAGGAAGCATGTTAAGATAATCGTACAAAACACTTCATTGGGTGCCACAAACAGAAAAAAAAGTGGCCTCTCTTGTATGGACGTATTACACAACTGTCTCACCTGCTTTTCAGGGTTTTTATTTCATGTTCATTTTCACTTTCTTCATGTTCATCAGGACTTTCTTTTGGTGTCTCTTCATCTTCTTCCTTCAGTTCCTGAAGTTCTTTGGTTTTCTTCAAGCCTTCCTGATAACTTTAACACACAGAACATTTTTCTTAGTCTAGCACACTGTATAAGCCTGTTCTTATGCAATGAAAAATCATCTTCATGTCACTTGCCGTAAAACACAACTAGCAGTGTTGCAGCACTTGGGCAAGAGTAAATAGGCTGAAGAACATAAGTACATCACGCAGACAGCCACCCTTCCTTAATAGAGAATTACATTAGCTCTGTTACCAAACTTGTCATCTTGAAAGAGCTTATAGTCCTCAGCAGAGCTCAACTTCTCTGCTTTGTAAAGGAGTTGGTAAGTATTTCTGTATTATTTTACAGTCATTTCAAACACTCTCTAGATATTTTTGTTTCCTGCAGAATAAATGCAAATCAATGCTAAAGACAGATGGCTTGTTCGATTCTGCAGATTACCAAAATTTCTGCCTTACTCCTCACGTATTACAAAGGTCTTTGCTTGACATTCAGAAACAGATGCCAAAGCTGTGTAGAACAGCTTTTTGTGCCCCAAAACATGCTGTGTAAAGCACTCTGCTACTCAGACAACACAAATTTACTCTAAGGGTTGATACTTACTCTTTACTGATTTCCATCTAAACTTTTCAGAATAAACATTTTAGAAAGTTGTTTTGGATTATCCTATCATGAAGCTGAACACTACTGACGTAAGAACACCCACCCAATTCAGAATCTCTGATGTAAGTGTCCTCCTACCGTCTGGCTAACATTTATAATAGATGAAAGTGAACTGCTACTGTTCAAATGCAGTGAGTGAAGTTCACTTGCATTGTTTCCCACATTTCTTCAATTACGACTATATTCTAGGAGCTCTTCTTTATTGCCAGCCATTTTGCATTTAAAATTACATTATAAAAGCATATACCCTCATCTCGTAGCACATGTTTACAGATTTAGTGCACATAAAATATTCACACCCTTTGTTATATGCTTCCTCTTCTATCTTGGCTTTAGTTTCAGGATTGATCTCTTCCAACCCACTCTGTGTCAGCACAGAAGCAGAGGTTTCACAGTCAGGCTCTCCATGACTCTTTCCACTGCCAAGACAAACAAAACAGTCACATAGAAAATGACACCAGTGAAATATATTTTATTTGTAGTACACCACCAAACAAGAACAAACACACACAATTTTGTGACTTGTGATTTTTCTTCTTTAATGTGCATCAAAGAAATAAAATGTCTTTCAGAAGAGAAGAATTAAACACTGAGCAATATTTTAGTTTCAAAATGTTGTAATTTAAGAACAGTAATTAATATGTTTCTAAGGTATTAGAACTTGCGTTTTGTTTCTTCTTTAAAAAAAGACAAGAGCATTTGTTTCCTGGCTTATCCATGGCATTTATTCGCTATTCTTGAAAACATTTTTTGCAACTTTATAAAAATCATCTTAGAAATTGTAGCCTATTCTTTTCAGAAAAAAATAATAGAAATAATACCAAATACTAATATAACAAAACATTTTTCTTATGTGCCTTTTAGGTACTCCCCTCTGCTGACTTGATACACTGAACTGATGTATAGGTTAAAAAAATACAAACACACACATAGCATTTGTCACTGAAACTTTTCCTAAGTGAAAGCCATGAGAATTGAGCCTGAAGATAAGCCATTACATATTGTTTTCTCTCTGCAATGCTCACCTGGCCTTATTTATTTAAGGCTGGGACAAAGAGTTTAAGTGATTCAGACATGACTTAGCTAATCTATTAAATACAATGCTTAATAACAATGGATCAACAGTGGATTCCATTTCAACTTCCTGAATCTAACCCTTTTTGTAGGCTTTATTTTTCTGGCACTAAAATCAATGGCAGAATAATACATCCTGACTGACACTATCTGTGGGCAATTGATTTTCTCTCAAGAAGTCATATTCACATTATTTTCACTTGGGCTTTAAACAAATCCTGAGTATAAGCTTGAACTGCTTAAATATACAAAACTGATGAACTATTTAATTTTACACTACTATAGCAGCTGGCTCATGCATACAAACTTATGCCAAACTTGAATTTAAAGTTCTATTACTTGATGACATGATTTTTTTTCTTAAGATCCACGAAGAGATACTGGTAAATTTTTTGGGTTTTTTTGGGGGGTATTGGTTTTGGTGTGGTGGTTTTTTTTTCGTTGTTTGGTTGGTTTGTTTTCCAGAACTTCTATACAGTGTCAAAAGATGGTCTAAATCTTACAGAGTTCTGTTGATTTGTAACATCTAGTGCCATAGCTCACTGGTTTTGTTTTTCAAACTGCTGCATATTTTCATTCTTAGTAAAGAGATAAAATAAAGACATAAGATAAATTTTGTCCTGCCTCAGCACTAATCTAAAATGTGTGAAATTCAATATTCTGTACTGATGTGAGATCTAAATATTTTAAAGCTTTTAATTTGCATGTTTAAAGCATCCTAACAGACTTTAATTTAAATTAGTATTGCAGATATTTTATTGTGATATTGTAAACAGTCTAAACAACCAAAGTAGTAGTAGTAACAACAACAACAACAATCAGTGTGATGTTTTTGTAAGTTTTACTTCTGAAATGTCAGCAAGCAACTTCCTTAGAATGTGCAACATTTCCTGAAAGAGATAAATATTTGGAAAAGTGCCTGACAAATTTTTCTTTGGTGCTCTCTAGGCAGATTATACACACATGGGTTTGCAAATGCAACAGTACCTGTCTCCATAACAGTAACTGTTTACAAAGACCTGGTAGAACAGCTTAGGTATGCCTTCCTATTCTCATCCCAGTCTCACATGTTTTCCTATTGCCCACCTTTTTATTCTACTACTGCAGGGGCTTTATATTTCAATAACTTGTATAGAATTAAATTACAGGTCTACATGAATTTCAGCTGAAAGAAGTTAAAAAGTTCTTTCCAGAAATGTGTATATGTGTGTGCTTTCTGGCAGATCAATTACCTGCTTGCTTTGTTCATGTAACTGTTGTTTTGCTCTGAAAGTAGTACTATTTAAACCCATAGAATGACTCATGGAACTATTCTGGAAAATAGATAACTACAGCACACCTTAATCTAGTCTGGACATCTACACTAGTGGTAAGTGATACAGAGTCAAAACGGCAACTGTTTTAACAAAAAATATTTTTGCAATTTGTAAGTACTAGAAAACAGATACATATTGAGGTATTTGCTTGTTACCAGGCTAAAAAAAACCCCTCTTCTGTATTTCTATTTTTAATTTTAAAATGCAAACATCTCTGCCTGTTATAACTAAAGTCTCAGGATGTTAAAACTAAAATCTCAAACCTAATGCTTTAATTTAGCTGAATGTTCATTTTATACTAAAAAAAGAATTCCTAGTCTGTAATAATTGTTTTGACTTCAGCAATATTTTGCTGATCTAATATTATGATAAATTATACTGTTGAATTTTATATATTATGTTTATTCATGTAAATTTAAAAAGATACATGACACTGGATAGCATAATATTTTCAAAATATGATTCTTACCAGCCAGACCATGTTGAAAAGGCAAGGGCAGAACACAAACTTCTATTACTGGGATAGTCAAGTTAACGAATAATCATACCCAGGATTAGTCATGGTCAACTGTAGGTATAGCATTAATTTATTCTGGGAAATATATTTAAGAAAACCCCAAAACCCCACAACCCAGCCACATGCATTTTATGTCATATTCTTAATTTGTCAAGTTCTGAAGACAGGCCTACTCGAAAGTATAAATGCATGATCTTCTGCTGCCTTTTTTACTTGATAAGTTTTAATGATCATAGCAAGCTCAATATAGCTCTGAGGTACTGCCTGTAAACTCTTTGAACATGAAAAGAACAATATGATGGTGACATAGTAAAACACATTTACCAGACCATGAATCAACCTAAACCAATATTGTGTTGCTGATTTCAGTACCTTGGTGTAACTTCTATTAAGAAAGGTAGAAATTATATAATTTTCATTTCATACTAGGATTTAATAGGTAATGAGATGACCTACACAAAACTCACTTTTCTAAAAGTGCTGGGAGAACAGGAGTAGATGTTAGATTGCTTCTTCCATTACTAGGTGACTCAGACTGTAAGTGAAAAACAGCAATAAATGTCACATTAATTTCAAATGAGTCTTCAATGAAATGACAATGTGCTGCTTAGGTTGTCTTCCCACACCCAAGGGCAAGAGCTCTTAATACGGAGCTTTTAAATTACTCCCACTAATGAGAGTAAAGAGTGGACTTGCACACTATAAAGAGTTTTCTGTGACATTCCTTTCCATCTTGTTTGTTTTTCCCAAGAAAAGTCTTTCATTATATATTTGATAACAGTAAAATTACTCTATTTGCTTCTCTCCATATTATCCTAGGAACATTAATTTGCTAGCTGAGTTTTCAATGGAAAATTTTAAACAAAACTTAATCATAATAAATCATGGTAAACAAACACACTTCATTTCTAAAACAATTGACTCTGAGTACATAATACCTAAATTGCACAAACAGATTGTTTCCTTAAAACCACAATGGATTTAGCTTCTCAGCAAAACCCCTCATTTAAATGAGCCCTACATTTTAAACAGAAAATCACATAATTTTTTTATGATGAGCTATCCTAGCTCATCTCTGAAAAGTTGGTATGCCTTGGAGTTTTCCATCAAAGTATTTATATAGAATTTAATTTATTAAAATTTTATAAACAAAAAATCAAGACAGAGGCTGATAATTCCACTATAGTTCCATCACAGAACATCTAAATTTGTACCACATATATTTCTGTGCATTAGTTACATGTTTTTCTGTTTAGTGGACTTTTTGGCAATGAAGAGAAGCAGCTCAACCATCTTCTATGGTTTCTAGTTAAAACTTCTCTCATACAGGTGATAACTATATTTACTGCTCCTTTCCAGTATGCTACTACAGATTAAAATGCAAACTGCCTCAACTAATGTCTCATGATTCTGAATCACCAGCTGGCCTTACTTGGCTCTGTGTCCAAAGTGATTATTTATGGAGGCAGTTTCTGAAGACATATGTTCCCTATATAATAGGAATTACCTTTGTCCATCCCCTTCACTAGGATGGAGTCAGAACAATGGAAGGGCTTATTTCTTTTTTATTTTTTTTTTTAGTAACTATGGCTTTGTCCTATGCAAAAGAGGTTAAAACAAAAAGCAGTATCTTTAAAATGCAGGGTTTACTTACCTGGGATGGCACTGAAGGTAAAGGTGAAGCTGTTGGTGACTGACCAGGAACGTTTAAGGAGTTAAATTTAGGAACAACAGCAACACTGACTCTCCTCCGAGGCATATTCTGTGAGAAACAATTTATTTTTTTTAATCATGCAACAAGATAGACTGAAGAACAATTCCACAAGTTAACAGGGGTGGCAAAGAGGTAGGTTAATGTGCCCTGGGGAAAGGAGAATTGGAAGCAAAACTAAGATAAATGGCTGTTACAGCTGTAGTTTTCCTCAAAACTTCCTCTAGTACTGACTGGTATGGCAAGTGCTAAGTGTGAAATGAGGTGTTGTACAGGGATGCTACTCTTTTCCTTCTACACTGAAGGCCTAGTCTAAGTCACACAACAATACCAATGAACTGATATTGTCAGTTCTTACTAGAGGCTATTATCTTGCTTAAACCAGAAGTATAATAATACGGAAAAAAGTGCCAGTGTCGCAATGGTTATAATAATAATGGTTATACATGAAACTCTTGTCTTGTTATGTACCCATTATGATATGCTGTACCCACAATTATTTCTAAACCCACAAATTATAACAGCCATTCCCTCTGCAAAAGAACAGAGCCTTCTCCCCCACCCTTGAGTTGCTAGCTGTCTATCTAGCATCATGCAACAAACGCTTACGTTTCCCAAAGACCATGGAAATTCTTTATATGATAAACACATGCTAGCTGTACACAATATATTCTAGCTGAAATACAGATCATTAAGTTTTTGCTGTCATTAGGTAAATTGGCAATTGTTTCATCCAATGATGTACACCTAGTAAAATCTGTGTTTCTAACCGAGTAAAAAAATCCAAGCACTTACAGCATCTGACAACTTTGTGTTAGTGCATATCCAAATGCTTTAAGATTCTGCTCTAGATAACCATACAGGAAAAGAGTTAAACACAGATTTAGTAAATATATAGAAGGAGTTACCTACTTCACAATCCCAGTTCTAGACAAAGCCAATATGCCTATTCATTAATGACAGAGGTTTATCTAACGCGCTCCTGAAAAACTATACTGGGGAGCCTGCAGCCATGTTAGGCAGTCCATCCTAGTGTTTTGGGGTACGATCATGGAACCCCAAATCACTTACTAAGTTTTGTGTTCAGCTTCCTCACTGAGGAACTAGAATAAAGCACAGGACCTATGCCATTCTCTTCACAGGTTTGTGGCCTGGAATACAATTATTCTTAAATAAATAGGTCCCTTTATTATTTATGGTTCCACAGCAAACATTATTATTATTGCACAAAGTCATACTTAATCATGGATCCAAAATTACTAAGCACTTGCATGAATAATATTGAATGTTTACCAGCACTATATTCTGAACACAGCCTATGAAAGTAAGTGTATGTAGACAAAGAAATTTCACTACATAAAATGTTCATTTTCTTAATATTATAGAAATACCTTTCCAACCGTAAGAGACATGGATCTAGATGAACGAGGTACTCCATCTTCTGCAAAAAAACAGTAGATAAAGAACAGTCTTACACTATATGAGTATCTATTTAAATAATAATCACAGAGCTCTTGCTTGTATTTCAAACTCTGATGTAGTACATGTATACAAAGTCTGTAGTGACTGCATATTTATCTGTCACGCGGTTCTGATCTCAATTACACCTGCAGAAGAAATCTGAAATAATTGCAAAAAAATGAACCATTACTATCTTTACTATGTTCTGCCTCCATATACAACTTTTTGCAAAAGAAAATACTCATATTTCAGTTTCCAGCAAACTAGGAAAGAAATGGTTAATAAAAGAAAAAGACTTTTTAATAATGAAATTCTGCCATCATCTCTCATCTAGACACAGTTGCATTAAAACTGTGCAAGCTACGTGTATGTGCAAGAGGCCAACAGAAATGTCACTGGATTGCACCACAATTTGCTAAGTGATAAGGATTTTAAATTAGTGTCCTATAGCATTAAGTATGGTTTTTATGAAATATTTTCATAGTTACATCTGTAACTTTCTGAAAACTACTCCTGTAGATCAGAACTTCATGAACAGGTTTCACAATACTTCACCTTTTATCATTAATAGCAGCGACACCTCTCTGTATAGAGGCGAGACAAACCCTTAAATGTTGATTTTTTTTTTACCAGATGCCCCATAGCTTCTGCTAGAATTCTGATTGGCAAGTTTCTTGAACTCCATTAGTTCAGCATGATCCTTTTCATATGTTCTTTTCAGATTTTCCACATACTGCATCATTACTTCAGTTGCCTTTGACATACGCTTCTCCTAAGGAAGAAAAGAGGGAAATACCTAGGTAACCTCTACACTTCTTAAACAAACTATTTGCCTCTGTGCATGCTCCCTGTCAGGGCTAAAACTGGAATAGCTGTTAAAGAAATATTTGGTATTTCTTAAAGAAATATATGGTACCTCCATGTCTGAAAATTCTTAAGCTAATTAAACATAAATGTACATGCATTCATATATATCCACAGAACGTTATAATTTATTTTGTCATATATTTCTACATTCTGTCTGTGTGCCTATCTTTCTAGTTATGTTGTATAGGTACATTCGTTTTAAAACCCTCAAAGGTCTTAGTCACTGACATCAGTCCAGTTTCTTCCGAGGGCATAGGCAACAGTCTTGAATCTGGGAGGATATTGCTGTGTTCTCATTTATACTTGCTCTGTTCTTAATATAGTTGCCTGACTAAGTTATTGCCAAAGGCCGGTGACTGAAGTAGATGAGCTTTTTGACCCAGAAAAATTTTCTTATTCATGCTGCACTGATTTTAAATAAGCTTCTTGTGATGCAGCTATAGTTCTGAATAATATATATGCTCCTATTGCACAGATGTTAAACAGCTTCATGGGCAATCTTCTTTTTGAATTCTATTTCCAGACTGAAATGGTGTGTTCTCTGACATTATAATAAATGTCAAATTATGGCAAATAAAATTCAAAGAGATAATATTACCTCCAGCTATGACTGAAAAAGAGAAAGAGTGAACATGTGCAGCCAGGATATGTGTTAGACAGCAGGGTGTTCTTACCTGGCGAACAGCTCCAACCATCTCAGCACGACTAGATAATCTAGCAGCTAAACGCCGCAGAACAGCAATATCCTCCAATAGCTTCTGGTAAGCTTCTCTGTGTTCATAATGATGCCATAAGTGAGCTGAAGACTGAAGCGAAAATACAGAAGTTTTATCATCATATCTTGCCACTTTTAGTTCCGATGAAGTAGCCTGAGCCATAGAAGCAGGGTAGAGATGTCTAGGCAGAACTACACATGGACTACAGATTAGTCCCAGAGGAGTTCCGTCACTGTTACCATAGATAACCTAGATAGTGCTGCATGCTGCAGGCAGACCTTCCAAGGAGTTAAAGAGGGCTATACACATTTGCAATACTTCTCCTTTTGAAATTAATGATGGCTCATGCCTGGCTACCTGTGAACTTTACAAATGCCAAGGTTATTTGAATTATTAATTGCAAATTATTGCCAAAACACAAAGAACATTTTAATTCGCTGGGCCCAAGGTGTTAAAGCGGCCATTCATGTTCTCTCAGTTCCATGACACTTCATTTATTTAGAAAATAAGAAATTATAGTCTCAAGAATTTCAAATGTAAGAGAGTAATAAAAAAAAAATATGGCCTGTAAATCAAATGGCAACTGTAAGACCCATGAAGGCATAAAAGAATCTGTTTGAGAAACACATGCACAAAATTCTCAGGTTTTTCTTGGCAACAGTAACTTGCTTTTTTTCTTGAACAAATCTGAAATTTGTGTAAATCAGCTTTCTCTTGAAGTTGGGTTTTTTAATAAAACATCAATTATGCCAAGATTGATTAAAAAAACCCATAAAGACCAGTAACACTGTCATTGAGCCATATAATGTGCCTGTTCTACAGAAATGAAGATAACCTTGTATTGAGATTGGAACAAGTCGAGGTCTAATATTATACACATTATACAGAAGCCATCACTTAATTTAATTGCTTGTTAGTTTATTCCATTGTATAGAACAAAAGATTTCATATGAATGGCAGTTTCTACTTTCTTATAAACTGTGTAAGAAAGCTTGTAAAAGCCAGACTGTAGCGTGTGAACTGCACAGAAGAGGAAAAAGCTAATCATATCTGTTGCATGCTGGCAACATGATCCTTGGTGCCTAACTAGGGATTCTTAAGAGATGTACACATCAAGTCTAACAGACTTTTTTCAGTCTGAAACCCCTGATTTAACAGGTTGTTTCTGCTTGCTCTCTAACCAGAGAGCAGAGTGAAGAGCAGCAAAACATTAAAATCTCTTTTTTTCCCCCCCCAGCAACAATAATCTGGAAATACAGATTTGAAAAGATGTAAATATTTTTTGAAAAGATGTAATTATTTTCGAGATTAAAATATGCAAATATAACAATCTTTTTTTAATTGTATCCTTTTTTACCTGATGATGTTCTTGAGAAAGAAAATGGGAGAATCATGTTCTCCTACTTCTCAAAAGTAAGGCAGCACCTCCTTGTAATATGCAAATTGGGTGTACAGGTATTTCATTTAGCTTCATGGTAACTAAGCATCCCTTCCTATCTGCACAAAAACACGTGCAGCACATAAATCAACACATCTCAAAAACATATTTTTCATTTCAGTTAGAAAATCCAGAGAAAGCTGGCAAGAAGGACTGAAAACTGCTGCTAATAAAAGAAGGTCAGGGACAGCTGGAATTAAAGTGTAATAAGGCCCATAACCTGATCCTGAGGTTGCATGCATTCCTTAAGTAATTCTTGCTGTCTCCTTTCCTGTATTGTCTTCTATTATCTGCAGTTAAGAAGTCATTCAAGTCACAAATCTCAGGTCTCAGGCTTCAGGTCATTTCATTATCTCCCCTAACTAGACCCTTCAAATTTAGTGCTAAAGAAGGTCTTGCTCAGGAGACCATGGATCAGTGTTCAAACTGCAGTTCCAAACAGGCTTTGTCACAGGCTTATTCCAAGTAGTTAACAGCAAATTCATAGTATTTATTCCTGAAATCTGCTAGACAGAGGAGAACATCCTCCATGCATTTCCAGCAACGGTGGCCCGCTGGCAAAAAATGCTCTCTCCTGTGCAGAGTGGTATGCAGATCATGGGAAGGAGCTCAGGCAGTAGAAAACAAAGTTCTGGGGCTGAATTGACAACAGGCATAAGCAAACCTAGCCACACATATTTCAAATGTGTGCATACTTCCATGAACGCTATAGATGGAAGAATTATTTTCTTACCGTAATGGCTGCTTTAAAGCTTTCCAGTTCCTTCTCAGCATTCTCTTCAGTAAGATTTCTCTCTCTCTCTGCTTGGTTAATTCTAGATTCCAAGGTATAACTATCATTTCTAAAGGCCAAGGAAAGTTGTACAAATACATTCTGTTTGGATTAGAAAAAGGCATTTTTAAATAAGCATCACAGTAATGTCATTTTCAGTAACAGCTTACAAGGTATATATTTAAGAAACTTTGGTGCTTAAACAAGTATTGAAAGAGAAAATTTAAAATACTTTTTAAATTAGTTTTTTTTTTCAAAAATCATTTCTCTTTACTACTTCTAAAATATGAATAAATATTCAACAGGCGTTGCTGCCTCTTTTCTGAATGTTTTTCTAGATCAGTAGAGCAGAGAGACACAATGAAGGAAGTAGTCTACCAGAAGTATCAGAATCACAATGGATCTTTTTTCTAGCTGGACTTCCTCCAAGGGTCCCCAAGGTTTTTAAACAGATAGCCTGTGCAAAGGAAATCCAAGGATGAGCTCACCATTAGCATTGTTTTACCTAAGGGATAAACACCTACCACTGAAGCCAGCAAAAGGTTAAGTGCTAACATTTTTATTTTGTTTCCCTCTACTGTTAAATATGGTTTCTTTCTTCACCAGACGTATTATTTCTTAGGACAAATACTTTGCAAAGCAAAAGGCACCAACAGTTTCATTAGATTGCAGCTATGTAAATAAAGATCATTCTCTTGTCTGGTATGTGGAAAAAAAGAAGAAACAAAGCCAGCAAGCTAAAGAGCAACCTACCAAAAAAAAAGTAAAAAGTATGTAAACTAATGGCAAGATGACATCAAGAACTGCCCCAAAGCTTCTACTGGCCAATACAAAAATGCAATTAAACTCGCTTAATTTCTTGTCTCATTTAATCTCTATTTCTTTACTACTTTATCTACATTACAATAATTTCTGTAACGAATTGTATTTCACTACGATGAATGCACAAACCAGTGTTTTGTTTATTCCTACTCTTCCTACAGTTTATATTGCCTCCAACAATGCTCATATTTCACAGAATTGTTATTTTGATTGTGCTCAATATGGTTTTTTTCTGAGAAACATTTTTAGGAAATAAAAATCCCATTACCTGGTTCAGGTAGCAACTTTTAGGCTTACAGTAACCACTTGAAATTGAGGCATATGTCTAAAATAAGGAGTTTAAGAACATACTTACCTCGACTTCTTTTTCAGTAAGTGGAGGAGAGCTAGAAATAAAAGCAAGTAAAAATCACATTTTAATTACTTTGGTCTCTAAAAACTGAGCTATTATAATATTTAACCAGAACCAAAAGAAAAAAGAAAACACCCTCCCCATAAATATTTTATGCTTTCTTTTGGTGAAATTAGTATTTAATTAATTAAATTGTACTTGTTATGGCTAAACCCCATGTTGTGTGGTGGTTTGTTTTTTTTTAAGCACAGCAGAGTATCTCCTGAGTATTGGCAAAAACATACCCAAGTTTCTGGCCACCACAAATACTGCTATCTGCACTGCATTGTGATAAATTGGGAGTACAAGGGCAAGACAGAAGTTACCCTTTTGGAGTTGTGGGTGACTTAATATGCTACACTTTGGGTTATTATATTTACCCATTTTCCTTCCATTAACAGATAATCACAGATGGACAGAATTCAAAGTTTTCACTGTTTACTGAACTGTTCTGTTTTGGCTGCTAATTTTGTTAGAAGTTAGCTAACAATTATTCTGACACTGACAACATTTATGTTTGAGTTTTATGAGTTTTGCACCACAAGAATGATTACTGACTATATAAAAACTAGAAAAAGTTACCAAAATGCAGTTTCATAGAATACAATATATATATATTAAAAAAAAAAAAATTAAAGTGAGATAGACAACATTATATTGCAATATTTCACTTAAAGGCAGTCATCCTTAGTGTTTGAATATACAGGTTCTTATTCCCTGTAATTGCTCCCAAACATCAGAGGCTGTTCAGTTTTATACAACTGAATAGAGATGAGAAACATCTGAAAGAAACAACAGGAGCTGTAAATACAAATTCTAGTGGATGCCAGCGGATACATATCATGCACTGTACAGGCATGATACTGTCAGAAAATTCATAAAATCATAAGAATAGAATAATAGAATGTTAGACTTGGAAAGGACCTTAAGATCATCTAGTTCCAACCCCTGTGCTAATGGACAGGGATGTCTCACCATGTTGCCCAAGTCTCTGTCCAGCCTGGCCTTGAACACTGCCAGGGATGGAGCATTCACAACTTGTTTGGGCAACCTGTTCCACTGCCTCATCATCCTCACTGTAAAGAACTTTTGCCTTATATCTAACCTGAACTTCCCCTGTTTAAGTTTAAAGCCATTACCCCTTGTCCTACCACTAGAGTCCCTAATGAAGAGTCCCTTTCTTGTAGACTCCATTCAGATACTGGAAGGCTGCTATGAGGTCTCCACGCAGCTTCTCCTCTCCAGGCTGAACAGCCCCAACTTTCTCAGCCTGTCTTCATATGGGAGGTGCTCCAGTCCTCTTATCATCCTCGTGGCCCTCCTCTGGACTTGATCCAACAGCTTCATGTCCTTCTTATGTTCAGGACATCAGAACTGTGCACAATACTCCAAGTGAGGTCTCATGAGAGCAGAGTAGAGGGGCAGGATCACCTCCTTTGACCTCCTTTGGTCCTTTGACCACGTGACTGTGTCCTTGTCACGCTTCTTTTGATGCAGCCCAGGATATGGTTGGCTTTCTAGGCTGCAAGTGCACACTAAAGCTGGTTCATGTTGAGTTTCTCATTGACCAACACCCCAAGTCCTTCTCCTCAGGGCTGCTCTAAATCACTTCTCTGCCCAACCTGTAGCTGTGCCTGGGATTGCCCTGACCCAGGTGTGGGACCTTGCACTTGGCTTGGTTAAACTTCATGAGGTTGGCATCAACCCACCTCACAAGCATGTCCAGGTCCCTCTGGATGGCATCCCTTCCCTCCAGCGTATCAACCGAGCCACACAGCTTGGTGTCATCAGCAAACTTGCTGAGGGTTCACTCAATCCACTGTCCATGTCACCGACAAAGATGTTGAAAAGGATCAGTCCCAACACTGACCCCTGAGGGACACCACTCGTTACCCGTCTCCAGTTGGACATTGACCGCAACTCTCTGTGTGCGGCCATCCAGCCAGTTCTTTATGCACTGGGTGGACCATCCATCAAATTGATGTCTCTCCAGTTTAGAGACAAGGATGTCATGTGGGACAGTGTCGAACACTTTGCACAAGTCCAGGGAGATGATGTCAACTGCTTTGCCCCTGTCCATCAGTTCTGTAGTTCCATCATAGAAGACCATGAAATTGGTCAGGCAGGATTTCCTCTTAGTGAAGCCATGTTGGCTGTCACCAATCACCTCGTTGTTTTTCATGTGCCCCAGCATGCTTTTCAGGAAAATCTGGTCCATGATCCCACCAGGGACAGACATGAGAACTGACTGGTCTGCAATTTCCCAGGCCTTTCATTTCCCCTTCTTGAAAATGGGGGTTATACTTCCTTGTTTCCAGTTGTCAGGAACTTCACCTGACTGCCATGATTTTTCAAATATGATGGACAGTTAATTAAATCAAGTTTAAATTAAAATACTACTGTAATATTCATTCCATCATTAATCCCAAATATAGAAATCAATCCATGTGGCATCACTGAGCAGCAGATTTTTCTCATTGTGTAAGATGACGTAGAGAAGTGACTAGAAGAAAGGAGCCCAGTATGTTCCCTGTGTTGGAAAACCATTCTGCGCCTAAAGTATTATTACTCATATCAGTTACTGTTATTCTAGGAGGAAGCCTACTAGAAGGAATAGTCCTAGAAGAAAGTTTGAGCATCTGCATGTGTCATATAACACAGCACAGAATGGTAAAATTCATGTCTTGCCTTTTACTGGGAATGTTCTGAGAAATTTGTTTTAAGAATGACAAGTAAGGTGTGTATTTATTCAATAGGTTAAGCTGATTAGAGAATATGACCTGAAAAACAGAAGATCTGTGTATTATCTGATCCTCAAAGCCAGTTCAGCATTTACCTATTTTGTACTTAGCTATGGAATTGTTTTTCCCTTCAGTATTTGATTACAATGAAGCAACGGTCTCTTAGAACTTCTTCACCTCACACATCCATTTACACAACAGTTCCTTCACAACAAATGTTAAGTATTTATTCCAGCTGCACAGAGAACACTTACTAACTGCTTCAAATGACTGCAGGCCTCTGGTATTCATAGTATAAAAACATATGGGTGAATTTAGGAATAGTTTTGGCCAAATATGTTTGGAATTGTTTTAATGATTAACAAATAAACAAAAACAGACAAAAAAGAAAAAAAGCTTGTTTCTTTTACTTCTCTCAAAGAAATGGTTTATGCAGAAATACGGAAGCAGCTTAGCTTTATTCTAATGTAATACAAAATAAAATATGGTCAGTGTCTTGCACAGGAAAAAATCAGGGAATTTGCAAAATAAACTCAAATTCCCTAAAAAATCGTCACCTGCAGAAAAACTGCAGAATTCTTCCCTGCCCAAATTTTACCATTGAAAAGCATTATCTGACCTGATCACTTTTCTGGGGGAAAGAAATAGTAACATTTTCGACATGAATTTATATATGCAGCAGCAATCCTGAAAACCAGGAGTGGACAGACCAGTGGAAAAAATCAGTATAAAAATGTAGCTGTAGCATTCAAGTTAAGCTTCAGACTTTTTACTCAGAACTTACAAATTCATTTTAAAAGTTGGCCAGTTATTGAAAGTTTGTGCACTGCCCAAATTTTTCCAAAAAATCTGTGTTGCATGTTTTCAGTCGCTACTTATATGGATTCCCTATGAATGGAACTCCATAAAGGGTGTCCACTGGAAACCATTAGTGTGCCTTCCCCAGATGATGCCTTTCTACTTCTAATGAGCTTTTACCTTCCTGGAAGTGATTTGTGCACTCGTAGTTTTCGCAGCAATACATCAGGAATGCTGGGCATGACATCAGAGCTATTCTTTGTCTCTTCCTCTTCAGTGGGGGAAGGGAGAGGTGAAGGGCCTAAAGACATTTTTGGATAAGAACCTTTTTATGTTATTTGAAAAGTCATGCATTAACTATTAATAGGCAGTATATCAGACCCAGATAGGACCTTTTAGCTTGTATCATTTGAAAGTCAATGAGGCTTTCACCCCAGCTCTACTGGGAGCAAAGTGACAAGAAAAGGTCCATCCCTTCATGCAGAATGATAGTTCCTTTATTGCATATGGTGATACATCACTTACCTCTCCTTTACTCCCTGTCTTCCTTTCAAGCACTGGCAACAAAAGTAATCAGTACAATTGTCATCCTTTATGAAGAAAGACTGAACTAGTAAGTGCTCTGAGAGTTTCCAATGCACTGAAAAATAATTATTTTATTAATATTTTTCCTAGAATTCAAATGGAACCGAAATTCCATTACTGGAATATCTAACCTAACTCTTTGCATTTGTGCTTTACCAGTACAGTTACATAATTTCTGGAATATTTTAGATTAGATTTTTTTAAGAGTACTGTGATTTTCTAAGGCTTCAAATGCTATCTGCCAAGATGAAGTCTAGTACTATGCTATAGATGTTTGTGCACAGTTTATAGTAATGAGTCCTCACCATGTATTTGTTTGCAGTGCATGTTCACTGAAACAGGACATAAAGGTTATAATTACCTTCTCTACTTCTGCCACTTTCAGAAGGACCAAGATACAGCTAATACTTCTTCTTTTTTTTTTTTTAATTCATGGTACTTAATTTTTTTAAATTGTATTTAATTTCATATGTAGTAATTCCTTACGTTCTTCTGTCTTGCCAGAACTTAGTGAAGGACTCTCCGATAGGAAAGTCAGGTTTCTCAGTCTGAATCTCAGACTTGGGAAGATATCTTTGTACAGCTCTTTTGATGTTTGGCGTAACAGAAAGATTCTTAAAATTTGCAAAACAAACTGTGTGACAAAGTTCAAGTTTTATGAAGTGGAGAGTGTTAAAATGAAAGACAGAAAAGAATGGGAGATTCTTTCTAGCTGCACTTTAGTTCCATGCATAAAAATTTCAGTATTTACTTAAGAACAGTCACGTCTGTCCCCATAAAAAGCCAGCCTGACACCATAATGTCTCCACATCTAATATATCCACTTATCTGAACTTCTGTAGATGCAAAGCTGTGTTTACTCAGATGATCACAATAACTTGGCATGGAGAGCAAAACATGATGGAGCCAGTATATTTGATTCATAATAGTAATTATGAAGTATCTGGCTATTTCCTATTGTTTAACCAAAATTACTACTCTGGTTAAAAATTACAAGGTGGCTTTTATGACAATGTAAGGAAGTAACTCTCCCTAACAAATGAACTAAGGATTTGACCCCTCACTTAATTTCCTCAGCAAGGACAAGGAGTTGACTCTTAATGTTCTGGCTATCATTTAGATAAGTTACTAGACTTCAAAAAAAGCTTGTGAGGTTCATGAGATCTTGGTTGAAAAGCTGGATAAATTAATGCTTTGCTTTTCATAACAGTTTCCTCAGAAGTTTCAAATCTGCCAAAATTATGTAACAGGCTGGTAAAGTGGCAACTGTTTTACATTTAAACACAGCCTGCAAAATAATTTCTGGGAAACGATAAATTAGCATAGTGACAGGAATAATATTACCATACCTCAGAATTCAAAGATATAATTACTATATACAGGAAGAAGACAAGAAGTCTCTTTTAATCTTGTTTCATTCAGTCTCAAGATGAGTCTGTTTCCAGACATAACATGAAATGTAGTATCTCTGTCTTCTCCCTGTGTGACAGAAACTCTAAGGCCTTATGAAACAGTCCCAAAGCATATCTATGAATTAGCAAAATGAACAGTATTAGGGAAAATGGAAACTGTCTTTGGATCATATCTTGGATAATCAGGTTCAGCTCCTTTCATATTAATCATCTCCATTTCACTTAATGTGGCCTTAGAAACACTCTGAACAGAGAAGAAGCTAAGTTCTGACTTAACTAGTTCCAAACAAACATACAGGTTTGGTTCAAATATTTTCAACTGATCACTCAGAGCTACTGCTATTTAGTTCTTCCAGTTGTTGAATTATCCTCAGGATTATATCTTTGCTCTTTATTTCTATTCTGAATCTTTTTAGATGCAGCATACAGGCATCAAATCTCATTTGCTTGTTTTAGATTTGAAACAATATGTGGTTCCAGATTTCTGTTTCCTCATTTATGTGGAGATTTTAGCCTTTTTCTTACTAAAAATCATACTAATTGAGCTAAATCTCCCCCTCCCCCCCCCCCCCCCCCCCCTTCTCAGCGTGGGTTTTCTCTCAGTGTCCCCCCACCCACTTATTGCTAGGTGTATTTTTGCAATCTTACAATCACATTCATGCCTCCTCTCTGGCCTTACACTTGCCTATCCACATTGATGTAGAGCTGTGGACTGAAAGTGGACATGCCGTTTCAATATTTGCCACACACATAGTAGAATAATAAAGCAGGAATAAAGCATTCCATCTCTTATTTATACTTTCAAGGATCAAATTCCCCCTTATGGCCAGAATATCTTGCAGAGGTCACATCCATTAAACCCATCACTGCTGAAACTCTTTTCAGAGCATGGCTGAAACTTGAGAGAGTCCTCCACCTATTAAATACAAGCTAGACCCTGTTCCAAATATGCATCTTTAAATTTGGTTGTAACAACACCTACAAGTATCTTCTTGCCTCAGATCATCAAGAATTTCAGGTACTTCTACTACTAGTCTCTCTTATTCATCATTTACTACCCTTCTCCATGACTGCTTCATTACACAGTTAATGCAACTGACGAAAAATGCCTTTTTTTTTTTTTCCATATTAGTCAGTTATAAAAATCAGTGTATAACAGACGCTCATTCCAGCTTTTATGATACTGCACCTTTTTCCTGTTCAGCAGCTTCACTAAGCTCAGGAAGTTTAAGTCCAACTAAATTTTGATTTCTCATCAAAATATGCTCCTGTTAAGAAAAACAGTAACATTTCTAAGTAACTTTACTAGAAATCTCAATTTAAATATCCCTGCCATGTGAACACTACACATTTATTTCAGTTAATAAACAGAATTAAGATATTTATATTGTTATAGCCACATGCTACATTGCATGGACACATTCACAAACACAATATCTTAAATATTACAAATTTCAAATTTCATACATGCCTTATTTAGAAAAATTCCTGGTCATACAGACAGAGATGTGCAACAGGTGCCCATTACTCAAGAGCTAAAATAGAGTTTTGGTAAATGAGAGTTTTAGTAAATAACAGCAAAAAAAACAGTTTTGGATATAGCCATAGCAATAATTAAGTACCCCAGAAAGGACAGAGATTTCAGAAAATCAGATATATAAGACTTCACAACTTTGACTCAATCAGTAGAATTTATTCACACTGAAGCTCGGCATGCTACAGCTGCAAGCTAATACTTCACTATTGCTGTATCCTGCTTCTATTCCTTACCGGTAAGGAAGAGTCTACTCATCTTCTGATTTTCTACTTTAATATTCTCAAATATATTTAATAATATGCTAATAAGTAGGCAATTCCTACCAAAGACAGAGTTCAAATCTCACCTAACCAGAATAATGTATTACGTATTATTTTTCTGATTCTAAATATTATTTGTGCTTAACACCTTCTAGGACTTTCAAAATTATATGGCTCAAGTGTCTGTATAATCAAGACTTCCAGTACACATATGCTAAGAATATGTGTGTAATATAAATAGGAAACCATGAATAACTAAGCTACCATTTCCAAGAAATACACTGGGAATGAATTAACAAAAGTACAGAATTTCAGGTCCTCACCTGTCAGCCTCATGTTCATCTTAAAGTATTAACTACTGGAAGTCAAAGAAAATAGTCTTATTAGGTTGTTAAGTAAAGTAACTACTACTATTTTTTTTTCCTTTCAAAGTAATTTTTGCTATACATATGGGGGTTGCTTTGTGATGGTGGGTTATCATTTCATTTCTATTTTTTTCAGTACACTGGTTAATTATTAGGGTTTAATTCTTAATTTTTACCAATCATTTAGACATTTTTTAACAATGAATTACTTTATAAATTTCACAGTCCAAGTCTACTCTTCAAGAAGCTGACACATTTGCATGATGTAAGAATTAGGAACAGTAAGCCTGGCCAATCTTCACCTGCCCTTGCTCTCAGATACTCAGTTTTACAACCCTGGACACAGACATTTTCTGAGAATGTTCCAATAAGCAAAAAAACCATACCAAAGCAATTTCCTAACCCGAGACTTGCAAATGTAATGCTATTGCAAAAGCTAGTATTCTTGAAATACAGGACTACTGCCCTTAGTAGGGAGAATACCAACCAATAAAGGACTCAAACCCACTCAGCTGAAAAAAGGAAGTGATTTTTAAATCAAAAGAAAGTTTACAAATAGTTTATGATATGCAGAGACTTTGTAAGCACTTAAACAAGAGTATAGTAACTGTCTCCAAACTTTGGTTAAAGACTTCTGTTCATACACAGGTCTCATCCCACTCATACAGGTATCTGTGAATTACTCAATATACTGTGTGAGCCTGTGAATTTGAGGACAATTCTGAAGGAGCAGAAAAAGCATATTACAGGGAAGCAAAGGAAGTAAAAGAGCATAAAAGACACTTCTAAAAAGAATGTTGTTACATCCTAAGGAAGGAAAAATCCTTCAGATCTAAAATACTCTTTTGAAATCAAAATAGATCACTTTACTCCCAAGTACATTTTACAAATGACATGATTGTTAATCAACTATGTCCTGTTTATAGGTCATGTAGACAATGCAAATATGAGATGTATTGTGGTTTAGACTCACCTTTCTGTCATAATGAAAGCAATTACCACTTTATTGACACCAATACTATATTTTTTTCTTCTGGGGGCCAAAACCTGCATGTGGAAGAGCATATGCACATGCATATATGTGCACATTGACAATACCACAGTGCAGTTGATGTGTATTTGAAGACAACTAAGAAGTGGAACAATTCCATGGATTTTAGCTACAGGTTACAATTTACTAAAGTTGAAAAGTAGAAACATGATTCAATTCTGTATTAATTTTGCTAAAACTGTTTCCCATTACAGTACTGTATGTTTCTTGCAATGATAAAAATAATGCTAAGCAAATCAAAAGTTTAGTAAAATAGGAAAATAACTTGAAAGCAGGATATGATTGATGACTGGGACTCACCTCTCTGAGCTTTGTCAATTTCTGCATTCGAACTGGTTGAACTTGGATTTGAAGGTCTTTGAATGCTTTTAACTGATTGCTGGATTTGTTACCAACAACAAAGCTTTTATCTTCCTCAGATGGTAATTTTAGGGGTGTTTTATCTTTCTGTCCAGGCTCCAAGCTATCCCATGATACAGCCCGTAGTAGAGGGGGACGCAGTCCACACAGTTTAAATTCTGGTTTAAATGAAACTTTATGGTCCCTCATTTCTTGAACAGGATTTTTTAGCTTTGAGTCTATATTTCCTGATCCTGGTAGATGGATTCTTAAAGGAACATCATTTTCTTTTGGTTTCTTGAGGAATGATTTTCCAAGTTCATTTTCACAAACATTCATGCAAGTATTAAGAGACATTCTGCCACCATCACCACCTGAAGGGGAGCATTTAGGTAAAGTATCCATGTGTTTACATGGATCGAAGTTTTCTTTTTGTTCTGAGAGCTTCTCTTTGGAGTTTTCAAAACCAGCAGAACGAGGAACCAACCTTCCCTGAGAAATCTTTCTTTGATCATTCTGCCTTCGATCAATTAGTCCTTTTGCAGCATTCTGAAAGTAGAGGGACACACATAAAACAGAGAAACAAGTGCAGATTTCTCTTTTCTTTGCCCAAGGACAGAATTTCACTGTAAAAAGCCATTACTTTTTCAGTGACATTAGCTTTTAAACATGTGCTGCTGAGGAGAGAAATAATTTTTAAAATGCACTTGACAGAACAATGAATTGGGAATCTCTTCTCTGAACTTTTGAGAACCTCCTCCTATTCTAGAGTCCATTACAGCAATACAGCAACCTTCATATAGCCAAGTCTCTCATCATCTTAATGTAAGGTTGTCTGAGCAGACACCTTTAACCCCGTATCTTACAGCACTGTTACTTTCCTTTGATTGCTTTCTGTTAGTCCCTTACCTCCCAAGGGAAAAAAACATTGACTTGTACACTACTGTCATTTCTCTCTTTGTTGTGTGCAGTACCACACATTATAATTTGGCTGCAATCTCTACAGGAGAACTGGCAAAAGAATGTTTGCCTATACCTTGGCTACTTTGGTACAGAATCTGTATTTTGCCTAAGGGCACCTGTGTGAGCAGTTTAAGGCAACCAACATAAAATCTAACTGTGGTCTCTGCCTTAGATATGTTGCTACTCTCCCATCCTTTATAGTTACTGCTCCAAAATTCTGCTGCTATACTATTTTTCAAAAGTATTCCCTAAGCCACTCATGGTAAAATCACTTTAAAGGGCCATCTCATATTACCTAAAACAAATTAGGAAACATTCATATAAACTGCTCCACCAGTAGTTGTGTGGAGCAGTAGTAGCCTATCAGTGGTGCAGAACATGAGGTACAGTAACCTCTTCCACTGAATCAAAGGAAGAAGATGTCTGTCTAAAACACGAGCAAAAACCAAAGCAGCTACAGTAGATATTTTTAACTTACTTATAAAGTTACTTAGTATGTTGATTTTAATTGAGCTAAAGCAAAATGCGTGATAGGATGTAAAGGCTTACTTAAGTCCACTGTTCTCTGCTACATTTTCAGGTGCAAATGAGCAGCATCATTTTTCTTTTCACTCAGCAAACAGTCTTTTAGCCATCTTAGTCACTTAAACAAATCATATATGCTAAGACAAACAGGTGAATTTTGTAGAAAATAATGTGAAACACTTACCTCTGCAGTTTGCCTGTCATCTTCTTTCACATGTCTGTTATTCTAGAAAAAAAGAAAGAAAAAAGTTGCCTTACAAGGTTATCTTTCACATCTATGCTGCAAATATTAGATATAGATATTAACAGATTAACTCTGAATCTTTTAACTTTTCCACTCATCACATTTATTTATGAACTATTTATTTATTTATGATGTAATTTTAGGGATTAGTTTTTTTCCATGGGTTAGGGTTATATTGAATCTTTTTCCATTTTCTACAGTTAAAAGATCTCTATGATTCTTCTGTGCTTGTTACCTCAGGGATTTTTGTTTAGAGGAAACATTTATTAGTCTCTCGGTCTGCAGAAAAAGAACATACTAGTAATACAATCTTGGTATATAAAATGGTATTCAAACCCTCCCATTTTCCTCAGGGACTAGCAGGACAGCATGGTGTAATGTAGTACTGTAATAGCCAGCTTACTGTACAGACTATTCAGCTCTTTCTTACCTGCCCTGGACATACTGACTCGACACTAGTGGTTGTGCATGCATCAGACCCTAGAGAGACACACACATAATTAGGGCACATCCTAATTTGCTCAAAATTTTTATTACTACAGCATTAGAAAACACATAGACACACAGTTCCACATAATACATTAAGAAAAAATTTAAATGTGGAAAATACTATTCAAAAGGGGGAAAAAATATCTAAAAGATAGTATGTGGAAGATCATTAAAGCTTCTCAAAACTCCATTATTGAAAAGAATTATAAAATAGAACATGCAATCTAGTAGCACCACAGGAGTAAAAATATAACACAATAAAATATTTATGTAAAAATATATATGTGGGCATTCATGAGCTTTGTCATATTCAAGAGGAGATGCTTGAATCTACTGATTTTGACTTCTCAAGGAATATTTAAAAATATATTTTTTGTGATCTTTTATAAGCTAAAGTTTGAGCCTGCGTAGATCATTTTACCTGATGAAACTGGAAGAGTGAGAGAGCTGCTCCGATATGCTACTGGTGAAACTTTAGGACTAAGAGTAGGGGAGACTGCTTCATTAAAACAAAGACAAAAACAAAAACAAAACAAGGTAATTTTACTTTCCAAGCTTCTAGTTTCTGAATTTTCAAAATTCAGATAAGATTAAAACATAAATCTCATTGTTGTCAGTCTTGTGTTTGTCCAGAACCTGACAAGTCATTTTAATTGAGTAGAGTTTATCTTGCATATCTGCTACACACAAATACAATTCTGTTGGTACACAGAATGCTTATTCTCCTCACTTTCCTGAGTGAAGTTCTGAAGAAAAGTACACAAGAGAAGGATTCACAAGAAATTTAGGAAAAAAAAAAAAAAAAGAGGGAAATTTAATTTTAAGAAGTTGTTTGTTTTTTTTTTTTTTCCTCCAGAAAGTGTCAAATGATTTTAAGACAGAACTTTGTCTTGAAATGGTATTTCAAAGCTACATGAAAGTCCTAAAATGGCATTTTCTCCTTTTTTCAAGTTTTCAAGCACTTAATATGAGGGGAAAAATAATTACAATTAACATTCTAGAACAAAACATTTTATTCTGCTGTTTTTAAAGGAAGATCTGGTCCATTTAGCTTAGTTTATGACTATGCTCAGAATAAAAGTCTGTGTGATTAAGTCTGAGGGAAAAGTATTTTAGGCAGTATATATCTTGCCATTTAAATTTAATTTTATATGCAATAGGAACTTTAGGAAGAAAATCTTCACAAACAAGAACTTGTGACCATTTTTCACATTTCAACAGAAATACTTCATGTGTTCCCATTACAGTGTCTGCAGTGTGTCATTTGGGCACTTAAAAACTTTACACAATCTTCCACTGTTACATCTGAATATAGAGATTGGTCAGTTCTGGTTTATATGGAATTGTGAGGAGGGGCAGAAGGATTTTGAACTTCAAATTAACAAAGTGTATGTACATAGTAGCAGTGTATGTATTACAGGAGATGCTTGTTTGTGCCTCTGAAGATCTCTAAAGTAGAGCATGAAATCTTGTTTTCAGAATCTGCGTCTACCTGTGGGTGACTCAGGAAGGCTGCTTCTTGACTTTCTGCCTCTGCGCATGAAAAACCTCTCGCTCACTTTCTTTGCTTCTTCTAGTAATTCAAGGTTCTTCTTTTTGTCGTCTTCTGATATTTTTACATCTGGTAACTGATCATTTACCAGGTCAATCACATGACCGCTGTTGTCTGTGTTGAAACATCAGAATGAGAACGTTGTGATACGTTGTGGCATTTTGGAGTAACAACTATGAAACAAATCTACCTATCTTTGACCTTGCATTTGACAAAGACTGAAGTCTGCTCATTTCTAATATTTTTATACTCTCAAGTTTAAAGAAAGTCTTCAAAAACCACAGGTAACCCACTACGATTAAGTCACTATGATTGAAGATGCTCTGATACGTGAAACTGGCTTTTCCCCGACAAACTTTCTGTCCCCGATAAAGTTTTTCTAATTTATCAGTAAAAGTGCATTAGATTCACCTCATCTAGCAGTTACAGCATTTCTGCCATAGACCCAGGTTTTGCATGGATTTTGTATGTCGTTTTTTAAGTCTGAGATCCTACAAACTCACCTGGCAAAGATTTATGCACACTAGTTTTAACATAGAGGTGATGCTATCAAATAATCTATAAAATAAAGTGAGGAGTTTGAAAGTACAAAGATTTTATTCTATGCAGATAGAAGAGCTTTTCCCACAAATGCAGGAAGCAACAGTAAGGCTGCATCTGGCAAAGCTGCATGCAGAAATTGAATAGCTAAAGCATGAGAACTGTAAAGCTATCTCAAAAAGCAAAACAATCTTTACCATGTGGGGGACATGCAAGAATTTTCCAAAGAAATTGCAAATCCCATTAGAATATCCAGCGGTTAAAGAAGACATTGTTAGAGACTGCTTTTCCTCATGTCCACATATGTTGATATTTTAGACACGTGATCCAGGAGAACACATGGACCACAAACTGAAAGCCGCTGCCTTACACTTAGACCATTAGATTAGCACATCGTTTTCTAAACAATTTTTATTTACTTGTAAAAAGAACCCACTAATTCCTGGCTTCCAAATTGGTTGAAAGCACTAAACTAGAGCACTATTTTTTACAGCTCTCCAGGCTACAATTAAACAAAGAATTTATCCTATTGGCAGAAAGGCCCTTTCTGTGTGAACTGGAATGAATGGATTCCATAAGCACCTAGGCTTGTATGGAGAAATAGTCACCCAAAACCAACAGGGCGAAGAAAGGAAACATACGATGACAAGGTAGTATGTGCAGGTTTTTCAGGGGTTGATGAACTCTACAGGCTAACAAGTTCGTTGGATCAGCTAGAACTGATAAATAGATGACCAAGAATCTGCTCAATCTGTGCAAGGCCACTGGCACACACTAGCATCAACAACAGACTGCAAGTCAGGTGTTTATTCTCAGGTAACTATGAGAAAATCTGTGAGCTATATAAATGAATAAATGACTGTAATGTGTGAAGAGTTAGCCGGTATTAATAACAACTTGATCACACTAACAACAGCTTTGTGAAAAAAAAGAAGAAAGGAAGATCAGTTGTGACTGTCTCTGTCCAGCCAGATGCCTCTATTGGGGAGGAGGCAATTTCTAACAGTTTTACAATAAGAAGGACCTACTGAAGAACAGCTTGGGTGGGGGGGTGGGAACTAAGTCTTCAGAAAAGCTAACGACATAAGTAAGCAGCAAAAAGTCAAGGGGTTTTGGTTTGGAGAGGGGAGAGAGGGGTGTTTGTTGGGTTTTATTTTGTTTTGGGGGTTGCTTTTAACCTTCAGAAATTTATTTAAATTTCAAGACTGTCAGAAAGCATGCCCATACACAGGATATTCTTAAAGCAATCTATTGTTAATGAAGTATCTGTCTTCTTTTACACTAAGATTTGTGTGTTGAAAATTTAAGAGATTGGTCAGCTCTGTTTTATAGGGAATTGTGAGGAGGGGCAGAAGGATTTTGACCTTCAAATTAACAAAGTGTACGTACGTAGTAGCAGTGTATGTATTACAGGAGATAACTTGTTTGTGCCACTTTCCTTCGGCCGTCAAAAGAGGAAAGCTGCAAGGCATGGTAATTTCTATCCTTGAATAGGTAAGCTTTCCTCACTATACTCAACATCTTTGCCTTTCTATGTTTGCCTTGCCTTCTGCCCCTTCACCACTTCTATTTCTCTCCCTCTTTGCTGCCATTTTCTCTTTTTCCCATTAAATTCCCTTTAATTTCTCCCCCTGTGTCCCATCTCAGCACCTGCTTACAAATGACAAATGTTCAAAGTATTACTTATTGATTATTTTAGGTCTACAAGTTTATGATTTTATACATGTTCATGAAATTATGTTTCTTTCAGGCAAGTCAGACCTCTTCTAAGAAGGTTCAATTAGAAAATGCCTAACTTAGAAAAGCAACAGCTTGAAATCATAGAGTAATTCAGGTTGGAAACAATTATTGGAGGTCATCTAGTCCAACCTGTTCAAAGAAGAATGATTGGTGCAATCAGACCAGGTTGCTGGTCTTTCAAGACAATCTGGTCTTGAAAAACCTCTAGGGATTGAGATGCAAAACCTATCTGGGCAGACTGTTCTAATGCTTGACTCTACAGTGAGTGAAAAGTTGTTCTTCATACATACAGCATAGAGCAATGATAATGGCTCAAATCAGATTAATGGCTGGGAGAAAGTAACATTGTTGGAAAGATGAAAAGAATGTTAAAAATTTATTCTGTATTTCTGATTTCCCCTCCCGTCCATCCTGTTTTGGTAGGAGCTCTCATATCCTTATTCCTTCATCCTTTACATGTGATAGAATAAACATTCTATCAACTCTGTTCAACTTCTGCTTTACATTAAACACATAAATGGAGACAAGTAACACTCCAAATGCAAACACACCAAGACTAAGAACTGATAGGAGCTCTGCCACTGACTTAACAGGGTTAGCATTTATCTCAGTTCTCAGTACTCACAAATCTGCTTCCACAACATTAGTCCCCTTGAATAACAATTTACTCCACAGGTAGCTACCAGAAAACTAATAGAACTAAATACGTAGTAAGAGACTAATTAGAAAGTCTAATTAGAAGAAATGAAGAAAATCTTCCCCTGTATAGCTTGTTTTCATTTGAAGTTTAATCCAAACTAAATAACTGGAGACTTAACTGTCTTTTAAGGTCCTTGCTAATAAAATTCCAGTTGTTCAAAAATAACAAAATCAGGATTACTGAACAGTATTTTGCATACAACAAGAATTTTAAGTATGTGTATCTCCAGCCTTCTAAAAATGTTCAGCTAACACACTAACCTAACAAATTTATGAAACTAACAATATGCATATTTCCTTGGTTCTGTGTGCATGCAGTCCACTACAGACCATAAACTCATTATTGCAATTCAACATGCTAGCAGTATTCCCTCCCTGTGTATGCATTATGGTCAGTATGCACAGGAAAAAGGCTGTAGTCAATACAGTCAGACTCTATATTTAGGCCTTTCTTGCACATCACATTTTCTGAGAAAATATCCTAGCTTAAATGAATTACTTCTTACCAACAGAAGTCAATGAACTTGTTGGATTCCTAGTGGCACGGTTAGAATGTCTCCTGTGAGGACTACGAGGCCTAGAGAGAAAAATGAACAAACAAAAATTATGGGAGCATGCCACCAAAACACATTCTACTTCTCTATAAAAAAAAGTATCATTAAAGAGAAAGCACTTTTCTTTGATTAAAAAAGATTAAAACTAAAAGAATTTATTGTAATTCCTCTCATATCCAAACAACTGGAAAACGGAAAAAGATCGCAGAAAGAAGGAAAATTATAGAAATTGCTCTCACAAAGGAGTTCTGATAACCTCATACACTGCAAAAATTTTGAGTGCTTCCTAAACTAACTTTTATGACTGCAAGAATTTCTTTGGCTCCCACATTGACACTCCTATATAGCAATCTAGGAACTTTCTAGACGAGGTGAAGGTCTCAAATGACTGCAGAAAATTAAATGCTGATCCAGCAAATAATGCCGCTTTTAAATGGCTGCATTGTAACTCTGACTCCTAAATAATCTTGAGATTTTGTGTAGTACACTTTAAAAATACAAGGAAATGATAGTATAGATTTATGATCAATACTTTCTGATCAGTTTCCCCCCATATTTTAAGTCCAATGGCAGGTCAATAAATCAGGAATCCCAGTAAAGAGGTATGCTTTATCAGAAGACTGGAAATAATCTTAAAGCAACTCAAAATTCAACCGAAGTTTAAAAATTCAAACAGAACTACTATTTCCATTCAACAGCTTATTTTCACCTGTGCTTAACCTCAGGGTGGTATTCTTGCCCTGTCTGCCTGAACAGGCTTAAATATCTGCTTCAAAACTTACTGTATCATAATATTCAAGCTAGACATTTAAGTTGTCCAGCAGTCTAGCTCAGAAACATTATCTTCTTGAATCTTCAGCTGATAGCTGTTTTCTTTCACAAGATCAGGAAAGTGGTCCTATCCCAGTTCCCAGGTGCTGCAGATGGTTTTTTTGCAGCTTCACCAAAACAAGGGAGGAAAAGAAAGAAGAGAGCTGGAAAAGAAGCCTACAGTTGTTGCACCTGTTTTTTAGATAGGAAATAAAAAAATAGTCCAGTAACTCAATTTCCAATGCCTTCAACTCAGGACTCTAAAAGAACTGAGCAATCTTAACTGGCTTTAGAAAAAAAATTTAAAGATGCTGGCTAATAATATCGTGATGCTCCAATATCTCAGAATATTATCCTATGAACTAAAGTTAGTCAGCAATGTCAGACTACATTCAAAGCCAGGCTGGATGGAGTTCTAGGCAACCTGATCTAGTTGAAGACGTCTCTGCTCATTGCAGGGGGGTTGGCCTAGATTAACTTAGAAGGTCCCTTCCAACCCAAATTATTCTGTGATTCTATAATACTATATAATAACAGTAGCTTCACCAGCATCACCTTAAGTTACACAAAACAGTGTGTGTTTTAAGTCAATACCAAGATAAGATGCACAAGACTGACTGGAAGGTAAGTTTATTCTGAAAGATATATGTAATATGCTCAACCTGTCAAAAGAAGATTTTCAGCAGTTCATAAAACTATAAAATGTCAAGTATAAAAAATAAACAAAATACTTGCAAAAACTATTAGTAAAAATCACACTTTATGATCATAAGACTTCTTTAGAAATTTTCTGCCCTCAAAAATAAGCGTTATTATACAACCTGTAATACATTGCAAGTTTATCTTTTGCCAAAACCATTCCTTCCTCATTAAAACAAACTTTAGTAGATCATGCAAACATTGTTTTTAAGAATAACACAGCAAACAGCAGTTTGTTGCTGCATTTTCCTTTCAATAGACAAAAAAATTTCAACAGATAGCAAATATGATTGCTACTATTTTTCAGTATGATACTAAGAATATTGTCATACAATGGTAATATAGCTAGTTCCTTAATCCAAGAAGGAACCAGACAACACAGGCTCTGTATGTAAGATACATACTCATTTGTGAGAGTCAACACTGATGGCTGACCATACCTTGAGGAACTTAACATCTTTGGTACTTAAAAAACAGTAATTTTTTTAAGTCTTATAATGATTAATTGCCTAAATCTCCACCAGTCTACAAAGATGTTATTGGTTCAGTGGAAATGTTTATATGAGTAAAGGCAGCACTGCTGGTGTACCTATATAATTAGTAGACCAGAATTAGGATTTAGCTACTGAATTGAAAAATTTCCATGGTGGGGAATACTTCAGGAAACATAAAAATGCTCAGTTGTATTTTTTTTTGGTCCCAGTTGCTCATTGACTGCATCTAAGTAAAGGTTAAAATGGACATTACCATGCACAGAACATGAGGAATCAAACTGTCAGTCATCCCTGTAGTAGGTGTAGGATTGTAGCGCACATGCACACCACTGTCTGTCTACAAAAGGATTTGACCAAACAATAAGGCCATATTTTATTTGCCAGCAAGAGGATGGACTTCAAAAGTTACAGCTTTTGGGCCAAATTATGCAAGATTTTAATTTAAATTTTTGCTTTAGTTTCAAATTATGCTATTCTGAAAGAGAGGAAAGTTCATGTAAATTTAAAGTACACTGAGTCAGGTTGGCAGGCTTAGTATTATATGAAACTCTACTCTTTTAGTATCAATAATATTCCTGTCCCCTGTCCCCTGCCCCCTTCCCTGAATCAAAAAAATAATCATCACAATGCAAAGACAGTATGATCAAATTACAAATAGAGATACAGCAATAATGTTTTAATAGAATACACATTTCAAAGAATATTTTAGAAATGCAGCTCCTGGAATTACTGTACAATTTATGCATAGTTCATTAATGTATCATGTAGTACCTGTTAACTAGATTTTTATCAATTTCCATGTCTGGTGTTACAGCATTCTCTGGAAGAACAATAGAAGGTGTACTGCATGCTGTCCCTTCAACAGTGGTGTCCTGGATGGTTTGTGACAAATATAAAGATGCAGTTAAAGAGAAATCTAAAATATGTAGTCAAAAAATGTTACTTCTACCGCATGTACTACATTCAGATTCACCAAAAAAAAATAAAAAAAAAATAATAAAATCAACCTGTACTGTTGAAAGGCTACAGAAGCAATCTGGTGTTTACAGTTAGTCAAGAAGTTGAAAAGTGATTCACATAAAATCACGCAGAGAGGGTAGGCACCTGTTAGAAGCTGCAACTTTTATTTTAACGTACAATCATGAGATAAGTAGAACATATCAGAGTAGTGTATTTATAGCTGGAGGGAAAGATTCCCAAAAGTGCCAGGGGACTGCCATCAATCAACTTGTAAAATTTAAAGAATAACTTCAAAGTTCTTCAATACTAATTGCTCCTGGTAGGGACTTGTATATACAAGTATTTTATTTTATTTAATTATTTTAATCTCAGTTTTTCTTGAAATAGCATCCCAAAGTTTCATAAAAAATTTTTACTTCAGTGGGCATTGGATTAGATTACAGAACAGAATATTTTCAGTTGGAAGGACCTACCATGATCATCTAGTCCAAAATTCCTGACCACTTTGGGGCTAACCAAATGTTAAAGTATGGTATTTAGGGCCTTGTTCAAATGCCTCTTAAACACTGACAGGCCTGGGGCATGAACCACTTCTCAAGGAAGTGATGCTTCTGATTTTCTAGAAGAGCATGTTTGCTATCCATGGCAAAAAGCCAATTACATTCAACTGTTAATTTTGTTTTTATTGATAGAACATTTGCTTTTCTATTCTGCGTACTCCTTTTAAGGATGTTTACCTACTAGAAGTTGACACAAGTGTAATGAATTCAGACTAACATTTATTTTAGTAATATTAAATAGGCAGGCAATAAAGCTGTTATAAAAGCACTGTTTTAGGCATTTACAGAATGAAGCATGTAAAATGGCTCACAGTTTAACAAGTTAACATTTTAGAACAGAAAAATTAAATCACTTCAATTATTTGAAACAAAAGCCATCAATGAATATTTCAGTCATCTACTGTCATGCAGAGGAAATAGCATAGTCATAAGATTTGTCACAATGAACAAGTAGCCAAGACTAGAAATTGAAATGGAATTACATACACCCAGGAAACTAATGATTATGTGACTGCTAATATCTATCAGATACAATACAATAGAACTCCTTTCACCACCTCTCCCAGTGCTGCATTTTATTCTTGTTGAAATAATTTTCTGATCAATTCAAAGAACTAGAGAAGTATTTTGAAAATGGTATAATATTAAAGTATATAACATAACCCTTCTTCCTCTCAAAGGCTCAAATATGCTTTGGCTTGGACAGCTCCATACTTCTATGCTCATAATTTTCATATGACATTCCTTGGCAAGTCCACATTATCAGTCACAGGAGAGAACAATGGGAAATATGCCAAGAAAATAATACGAAGATTTAAGTTTAAGGAAAACATCCCTGTAATATTGGAAATGTTAGAATGTAAAAGCATGATATGTGATTCAAGTGCACAGATGACACTGTATGATAATAGTTTGAAAGCAATCTTTAGTAATATTATTGGAAATGTTACTAAGTAGCAATGTATTTTGCCTAACAGTCAATGACAAAAATTCAGGTGACTGCCCTGCTTGTAGGGCAAAGCAGCTGAGTACACATGCACATTGTTGATACTAATCTCATGACTGCCAACGAGCAAAAGCTTTTGAATGGGATAACATCAGCTTTAAAGCCACTTGAGTCCATTTTAGGACTCTAAAAACAGCTTATTAAAAAGAAAAAAACCCAAAACAAACAAGAAAATTGCTGTACTCAAGGCTAGTTCAGGTCAGGTAGAATACATTATTAATGTCAGTCAACAGCTACAGCAGTTCAGCTTCTAGATAAAGATACATGCCCCCACTGTCCAAACCTACCATACATTTGTGTAGGAGAGGGGCAGGAAGAGCTAGGGCATGAAGCTCTTTGCAGGGCCAGCTGGCTTTAATCAAAAGAAATCTTTATACTCTGAAGAGTAGTCAGGCTGCTATATGCAGATCTTGGAAGAGAAGCTTTAACAGGAAGCTTAAGCTGTCCCACAGCTTAGAGTTGTACAAAGGTGATACAGGAGTTTTCTATCACCCTCCCATTGACTGCCTGCTACCAAGTCTTCGCTTCCTTTTTGTTCTAAGCCCCTGCTCCCATAAAAATGTAGGGTAAAACTGACTCCATCTCTATGGCTTAGGTGGGAACTGATCCACATGCTCTATAAGGATGATCATATGGCATCTAGTCCTTCAGAGAGGCTTTTGCAGTGCTGAGAGGATGGCAAAAGCAGTATGGCCCATAGAAGATCCAAGAGGCTCAGGAATACTCAGGCTAGGTAGGATCTGCAGACATTCCAGCTATTAAGCTCTACCAAGCCCTCATTAAGCATACAGAAAATGCATTTATGCATTTTTAGGTGTTTTATAATCCATCCAAATTTGGCAGAATTTGAACAGTAATGGTGGGGAAAAAAAACCTAAATCTCTGCTGAAAGAGCTACCCTGCCAGGCCAGTCAGATGAGAAAGCTTTACTGTAACATCTCCTCAGTTCTTTAAAGCACTGAGGAAAAAAATTAAAATTAAAAAAAGCATAATCCTCTGCCAGCTGGCCATATTCGGAGAAATTAATTAAAGGTCTCAACTGAATTTCAGAACAAATTTGGCCTGAAACAGGCACTTATTTCAAAGGGCTCAGAAAAGTTATATATCTCAGAAAGAAGTCTTTTAAATGAGATGAGTTTTGAAATAAACTTAATTTTAGATCATCCCATCATGTAAAAGATACTTGAAGTAAACAAGAAACTACATGTGATGTAAGGTTCATTTTCTTTATGTCAGAACTGTTTTGTGAATGTGTGTGCATATGTGCATGCAGGGAAAAGGTGGGGAAGTATCTCCTGAAATAGAATGAGGAAATTGTTAGACACAAGACACCACTTTAGATAAGATGAGATTCCAGACTTGGAAAGTTTACCCTAATGCAGAAAACAAGTTCACCAGCTGCAAGTTCCTTCTGATGACCTCTCCTTGCTTGCAAGTCCTTATCACACAATGATAAGCTATTTTCCTTATTATATAGTAATGCTGTACAACTCGGACTGCAGCAGGACCCAAGAGTGGTAACAGGTATGAACAAGATTAAATTCTTCACAGCATTGACTAGTTGCAATCCTTAAGTAGGCTCATGAACAGTGTGTTGGTTAAAATCCTTTCACTGTTACTTTGTGCCTAAAAAACCCAGTTTATCTAAAAAGAAGCATTTTGCACAGTTTACTGATTCATGAACTACTATCACATTATCATAGTTCATTTAAGACCTATCTCTAAAAGGCTTGCATAATGTATTTTTTTTAATATTTATATT